CGTACATACTCCTCCCAATGTATCGACTTCCAAGCGTTTCAGCATATACATTCCAAAGCGCATCATAAAGAGTGGAGCAGCATAAATTAGGCTGAAATGGTTTTTCAGCCATAAAATACAGAAATTTAAAGCGCCCAATTTTTTCCATTTTCAACTCCAGGAGCTCTTACAGTTCATCCTGCAAAGAAATGAAAAACAGTAAAACAAATTTATTAAGGAAAAAAAAAAAAACTGAATAAGGAATAGTAATTAGGGCTGTCAAAAAAGATCATTTTTCGCGAACAGTTTGTGTTTGGTTCGTCAAAGAGTTTGTATTCGAACCGTTATTGTTTGAAATATAAAATAATTTAAAATAAATATATACAAAAAATTTATGATATTTTAAAAAATTAAATTTTACAAATTATAATATATATTATTTATATATATTAATATTAGGGATGTCAAACTGACTCGTCGTTCGCGAACAGCTTGTGTTCGGCTCGTTCGTTAAGAAACGAACACGAACATTGACTTTACGAACAATTTCGAACACAAGCTTATTTCAAATAAATTAAATTTCAAACGGTTCGTTTACACCCCATAACAGTAATGCTGGAGATTAAATGAAGCAGCACAACTTACATGATAATCATCAAAATCACGGTGATGATGCTGCAATAAAACAAAAGAGAGTGCGAAATAAAGTTACTGAACTTCACCAGAAAATTTGAACAGGTAAAGAAAATCCAACCAATTTCATCATGTTTCGGGTGTTTTATTTGTAAATATCAATGTTTCGGGTGGCGTGTGTGTAAATGTATTTTTATGCATTTAGTTTGCATTCAACCAATTTCATCATGCTATTCTAAAATACATGTATTTTAAGGACATTCAATCATAAACATCACAAGAACAAGCAAAATTGATTGATCAAAAATCAAAATAGATGCGCGGTTAGATCGGCATACCCGTCTATATTTATCCCTGTATCTCTCCCTGTCCCGATGATAATGACGATCATGTCCCCTCTCCCTTTTCCTTCTCTCACCTTCTTCCCTTGCCCTCTGAGCTTCCTGCACAACAATTATCAAGTTTTACATTAACCACCAAGCATTCAAAAGTAGAACTAAGCCAATTATCTATCACCTGCTCTTCCTTTGCTCGCCTGATTTTCTCTGCTTCCTCAAAGGCCTCCTTCTCAGCCTGAACAGGCAAACAAAAGAGGGATGCATGCATGATGAGACGTTTAATTTTAAGTAGAATTTAGCATTTTTGCAACATCTACCCTACCTCTCTATTTCTCGTCCAAATCTCTGCAACAACTTGTTTAGCATATTCCGGGTCATCACATATAAGGATATTGTCAAAAACTGAGCCAGCCTTTACCTGCATTGTTTCATTACAATTAAAATTATCACATTAAAGTAGTAGTGCGTTCAGAACAAGAAATGTTAAAAGTTAACCTAACTAGGTTTCGTGTTATCTCTAACCTGCCATACTTCAATTCCGATATACTTCACAGGTTTGAGCACATAGAAGTCGGGATCATCTTCAAATTCTGTAAAATGGAGATAAAAAGTGAGCTAAAGAAACATGAGCTGTAAATATCTCAACTATTTCCTTGTGATACAAATCTTAATGTCGGTGTAATAATATTTATTTATTAAAGAATAAAAATGCCCTTCTTTAATAGAGGTGCTATTGTTGACACTTATTATAAGTTTCACTTGAATCTTTAATAGATTGTCAATCGTGCTACTTATGTTGAGTCGAACCTTAAACATCATAGAAGTGTATATGGCCACATTGCTATAGTAAGTAATCCATAATTATTTAAAATTTAAATGGAGCATGTGATGGCATAGCTCAGTTTACATAAATATCATTCTTGCTGGCATTGGAATTGATGATAGGAAATAAGCTTTGATCATATTAAAAAAAAATGATTGTTACAACACATGTCAGTGACATAACATATGATCATATTAAAAAAAAATGATTGTTACAACACATGCCAGTGACATAACATATATAAAAAAAAAATGTTTGTGTGAGAGATCCGAATGCTGTACTACTACTCTGTTGTTGATATGATTGACCAAATGGGCAGTTGATTCCATAAAAGGACAACTATCTTGGCAGTCATTTAACTACACTAAGTGAAAGAAAATCTTCCTCTTGTTCATGTTATTATGATTACGTATAAGATATGTTATCATAGATAGTTGATGAATCTTTTTGGATGTATAAAAACACGCACAATGCTGTTGATAAAAATGTGTTAGCACGCAAATGCATTGATTATAATTTTTCATACAAAGAATTATGAACACAAATGTACCATCAATCATTGTAAATATTCATGCCATGTAACATTATTTTAACCTGATGTAAAAAATGTCACTAGTTATATTATCATGTTATGTATTATTTCATTAATTACAAATAAGTATTATATATATATATACATAAATCAATTGGTCGGGCATCTGCTTGTCAGTTGTAAATCCCCTTTGGTTTGGGGTTCGATTCCCCCCGGTGGAGGGTGTGGTACTTTTAATGGATATAATTTATCTACTGCATTTGCCTGAAAACCAATTTTTTCTTTAATGGATATATTGTTGTTTTTCATCTGAGGGGCTGTTTAGTTCAGAGTGCAACACATTCAAAATGCAAGGTTGTACATTTTTTAATGTTTGGTTGGAGGGTTTGGGTGTACTATATTCTAAAAGCATAGGTTTTAAGTTTCTCAGTATTTGTTTGTAAATCAAATTCAAAATATTTTTTGAGTTTTGATTACTGCCATAGATGATTTTTAGTGAATTTAAAAAATGCCTAATTTGGACTAGTTTCAAATACCCCGCGCGAATGCACATGAAGTTCACAGGAAAAAATAGCCCTCATAATGCTAGACCCTCACAAGTGACTCTGCCTTCTGGCAATCCTTATGTCTTACTTTGCCATCAACCTCACACTTCATGTCATCAAGGCTTTCCTAGTTTTAGGGAAAGGCTTCATCCCCATGATTGTCCCTTTGACCTCATCTAACTTCTATTGAGACCCAATAAAAATTTGATAATCCATTTCTTCTCCACTAATGTTCTATACATCATATCATCGGAACTTCCATACATATGTATCATATATATCTAATTGTACCAGTACCTTGATAGTGTGTTGAAGTATTGAGTAAATACTTAACTTTTCCTATCGAAGCTTATACAGTTTTGTCTCAATTTCAATAATTTTAAAGTATTCCCGGCACTAAAATACGTCTCACGAGCTGCTTCCCCGGTCTTCTGTGTTGTCCTATAAAACAGAAAAATCTCTCCAACTTTTGTGGTCATAGAATTGATCAAACAATACATGACCATATGATTTTGGATCTTCCATGAGCAATTGTTAGGATCAATGAGCTCAAGAATTGTGTCATCTCCCGTGAGATGTTCACCTTTTTCTTTTCCACAAATGTACATAAACACATTGGGATCATTAAAAAAAGTTATGACCATTGAGTTTATGGTTTGTGATAAAGAACTATCCTCTGGAGTAAAACTAGACATCTTCATTTCGTAATTGGTCATAAATACTATACACATATAGGGTCGAATAAAGGAGTTTGTTGCTGCTTATAGCGAGAATAGAGAATTGCAGCTTCA